CCTTTTATGTAGAGGGTATACATTGTAAACATGACTGTACCGCTATGTAATATCGTATTTTTCTATTTATTTAATTTCAATTCACAGGCACTGGACTACTTGGCAATTGGTATTCATGAAATTGCCAATATGAGCGAACGTAGAATAAATAGAATGTGTAACCGAAGTAAGTATATAATCTTGTATAGCACGCCATTGTGTTTGCTGAATGGATTACAACGTATTAAACCCAAATCAATTTCTATATTATTTTACAGACTACACGCCAGACGAGATTCCCGCATTTCTGGTCAAAGATAGTGGTCTGAATTCGGGTTTTATGATCGCTCATTGCACAGCTGCGGCTTTAGGTAGGTTGTAGGATAAAAACACCGAAGAAGATAATCCCAACATTATAGTTGAATTGATGATCAAAATGTGCAATATCATTATTTGACACGTGTTAAAAGCAGTCATGAGATTGAACAAAAAACAATCAAATCAATTATGGTTTTGATTTCATTTAGTGTCTGAAAATAAAGTTTTGACGCATCCATCGTCCGTGGATTCCATCTCAACCAGTGCTGGGTCCGAAGACCACGTATCAATGGGTGGATTCTCTGCAAGAAAGGCGCTGACCGTGGTAGAACACGTGGAACAAGGTATGTATATGTTTACTTTAATTTGACATTTACCATGCCGTTTATTCAGTGATGTTTACATATTATATTTTTGCTCCGCTCAAAGGGTTTGAATAGCTCGTCACTTCACGTCGTATTCAATATAGGTCTGATACGTTGTACGCAGCAGGTAAAAAATGTATTTGCACGAAGTGTAGACCATTTTGAAGCTTACATTTAAAATATATTACTTTTAACAGTTATTGCCATTGAACTACTAGCTGCTTGCCAGGGACTTGAATTCTTGAAGCCTTATAAGACTACTAAACCATTACAGACTGTTTATGACTTGGTGCGTACAGTGGCTAAGTAAGTATTGCGTTCATTATTATGTTTTGCTCCGATGATTTATTTGAGCGGTGTGGTCATATTGGATCATTGAAAATACTAATAATCGATAACAGCATAAGTAAGAACAATATAGCACTGGTACAAAGCAAGAGAAAGTGTGCCAGCTTAATACAACGTCGAGATATAAAGCGGGAGCGACAAACACACGGAGGTCATTCTGCCGTTATAACTATACATGGAAAACGCTGGACTCTCGGTTGGCTGCTCATGTGATAATTAGATTTAATATTCAAGAAATTTGCCTTGCATATATCCTGACTTCATCAATTGTCATTAATAAGTATTAGTAATAATGAGTTTCCATGTTTGTCACCAGACCTTGGGATAAAGATCGTTTCATGGCTCCTGACATTAATGCTGTCACAAAACTTCTGCAAGAAGAAAAGGTAATGTATTATCACTGACAATGAATTACTCATACATACACACAATGTAAATTTATTTACGTAATTATTTATAGTCAATTCATAAATAGGTTCACGCACGAAATTTACAACATTAAATGTAGTATTTTGGAGTATGTTTTTGGTGTTACGACCGTGCATGACAAAGTTATCGTGTATTTTCAATTCACTATTAATTCTAGATAGTGTAATGTTGCAACGTTGGTAACGGTGGTAACCATGAGAACAGACAGTAGATGGAATGACTTGTTTACGTAGTTTCTCGAGAATATAGCACCTGACTTTTAGTTGGACAGGTTACACCGCGACATGAGCCACATGTCCTTTGAAGATAACAAACAAATATTATTTGCATTTTGTGTAAAAAATCACATTAAGTAAACCATATATGTAGTAAAATGTCGAATGTGATTTTTTTTAGGTATGGGCGTGTGTGGAGCCATATATCCAACATTACAATAAAACTATGGGTTGAACTGGCGCCATCAACAGCGAATATTGTGAATGATGTCACAAAGCGAAGAAGTTGTCGTATTATTTAGTGCTATATAAACAAAGTGCTATTATTAAACTCTTTGATTAATACATTCTGTAATATATATATATATGGATAATGAGATTTTAAATGGACAGAAATATGTTAATTACTTTGATCAGATGTGAAACCGTGTGATATTTCAACATTATTATAAACATTATCAATATAAAATTATGTAATACCAAGATGGCTAATGCATTTGTTTAACATAAATGGCTAACATTTAACGTGCTGATCTGATGCCAAATGTGTTGGTGGCGTATATTAAGCTTGTTGTTGATATTAAATATATGAAATGGCATTTCCTTCGTTTTTGAGAGGAGTTCAAAGGAAAAACCAGAAACTTTAGCATAACTGCTTCAGAAAATACTTTATTGGATGAAAACGAAAGGTTGAGTAAATTCGTAATGAAATGGCCTTCAGATTTTAATTAGTCTTTGATGAATGTTGGAAATATATATGAAAAGGTTTATTGTTTATTATTATTACTGATATTGTATCGTTTTATTATACTGCTATATATATCGTTTATACCGCCTGGGCTTGAATGTGACAAAACCGGATAAGATCTTGAACACCGTGTTATGTGCGAACGTGTTGTATATTTGTATCAAAGTTTCCCGCTTCATAATCCCTAGGAGGGTGTATAAGCACTCGATGTACTTGATTCATGGCTCTTCTATGATATGTTCACGTAGTTCAAATAAACAACTACTTATACGCTAATAAGTGCGTGTCGTGTCTGACTGCTGGACATCTGGTTATATAAGGAATATTATAAATAAATAAATATAAAGCATATATAATCATGTTCTAACCCTATAGCCTTGTGAGTCTTAATTCTTAACTTAATACCTAATATGGTCTTAATATTCTTAACCAATGATCTAACAGCCATAGCAGTTTGAATTCTTACCTTACATCTAACTGCCTTACCAGTCCTAACTTATTATATTATCAATACATAATAGAGGGCCTTATTCGTGCACGGGCTGACTTAAGTTTAACTATAGGTTGGTCACAGATGAAAGAGGAGGGTTTGCATACAGATCTGGTTCATGCCTTGTCAATTAGGATTCTGTACATAGAGACATTACAATATCTAGCGAGGAAGGCAGGTTGTCAGACGGTTAGGTCTAATTTTTCAAGACCCCTGGGCGTCCCTCTTTAGCCGAAGACAATTCAACGGGTTCAGATTGTCAACAAGTTAAATGGAATGGTAGACGTTTCATCGTGCACAAAAACGTAGAACAGTTATTTTAGGAGTATCAGTTTCAAGGGATTTGCAATAATTACAAATTTGAAGGGGTTGCTTGTGTTCTCAGTGCCCTCTTTTGCATGTTTATTGCAGAAAAAAACACTTGATAGGCTGTATGACGCTCTACCGTTTCCTGTCTATAGAGTTAGTTCATTGGGAATAGCAGAAAGTCTTTTTTTATAAAGTGCTCGCCAATTGTGGATCTATCAGCCCCACATGATCTGCCTGGTGTTAGGCTTGTGTTTGGCAGCAGATCAAGTCATCAAGATTTTTGACCAGATTTTGAAGACAATCTGCTGGATTGTTAAAGGTAAGTATATCATGAATTTTATTATCCACTTGCTTGATGATTTTATTGATAATTGATGCATTTGAGGAGGATGGCATTCGTACTATTGCTATGATAGCCATGTTTTCATCTTTGAACATTCTATTGGCCGCTCACAAAACAGTCTGTCCTTCATTTGACCTAGAGTACCTATGTATATGTAGAGTCTGTTTGCAGAACTGGAATGGAATGTACTTGTTTCTCAATGTTGATGCATCTGATTTCAATTTCAAATTTATTCAGATGCTTCATCCACAGTGAATTTGGTTTGTATAGGTTTCTTCTAGATATGGCTCAGCGAGTTGTGGCCAGTGAAAATGAAATGATACATTTTCCTTGGCATTTTTAGAGTTGTACCCTATCGTCATTGCTGCCTAGTTGTAGGATAGCTATTGGTCATAGAGGCGTATTGCAAATTATTAAGTTTTGAAGGGTTTATGAGCCGCCTGACAGTGCATTTGTAATTGCAAAATCCTACAAACTTGGGTTGTTTTTGCTATACGACGCCACATAATCGGATTCTATGTAGTGTCTAGGTAATAAGCTGAATTCGATCTAGGCACAACACTGCCCTGTTTGATAGTTTGAAGAACAAACAGGTTACATCTTGTGCGATGATTTTCTTTCTGAAGCCATTTTGTTTTGCAGAGTATATTAGTATAAGTGTTAACCTGGTATTTAAAATGCTTGTAAATGGTTTTCCGAAACAACTTTTCCGAAACAAATAGATATTACTCTGTAATTCGATGAATTGAATTTAGATCCTCGCCTATGAATTAAGACTATAATGCTAGAACTCCATGATTTGCGAGATGTACTAGTCCATGCTTCAATATTTCATTGCAAATTTTATCTTCCTGCTGATGCCTTATTATTCTTCAAAGCATTAAAGGGAAAGGCAAAGTAGATATCATAATGCTCCCAGATGAAAGAGCTCCAAATCTTGGATTGTGCAAAGAATTGTGGGCCAAGTGTCCATATTAACTATATTAAAAGTTAATTCAATATAGCAAGTTAATTCAATGTTTGTCGTTACCACGACGGCAAGACGTGCAGGTTAGTTCATGTATATAGCAAATCTCATGCCACAAATATCATAGAACGACTGGGTTCATTATCATGATACAATTTAGTACACAGATACATTGTGATAAACTCCATACCTGGTCAAATGTTGGCGCAAACCACGAATATGTTAATTAAGAATCAAAGAATATTGAATTCACTTCACACTGGAACACTTTTTAGCATCTCCATTTGACATAGTCAGCTTTCGTGTATTATATACTTCACCAGGAATAGTTTTGTAAGCGGATATCTTCTAACTGCTAAGAAAATCACAGAACTCGTAGCTCAGTAGCTCGTTTTTTTTCCAGTCACATCTCGTACTTTATGGCAAATACGTGTTGAACACTTGATGTCGTTACTCTTTACTACCTTCTTTAAAAAAAATACGTGATCTTGATTGATCCAATTGTAATTGGTCAAAAAGTTCCACGGATTTCCAGCATCAGAAAATATGCGCAGAATTCTGTTAGTAAATCACACTGTGTAGAAAGACATTTCGCCAGACGTGTACCAGCAGAAAATAAACTATGACTCATCATCACGATAGATTGAGTTACAGCTCAATGTTGTGCGTGTAAATTACAAAAACCGATTTGCTGCAAAATTGTTTGTCTTCACATTTAGTCCCACACCCTTCCCTGTCGACTTACATTTAGTGCCACACCCTTCCCCGTTGACTTACATTTAGTGCCACACCTTTCCCTGTCGTCCTACTGTTATATATTCAGCTTGGCAAAAGTGGAATTTCCTTAATCATGGCAGACGACAAAACCACGGTTTGTAATTTTGTTATTTTATTTTGTTCAGTTTAGGTTTTTACAATTCGTAAACATTTCAAATTCATATTCAAAAATCAATTAGAGAATAGTTTCCGCATCTATTTCATTAGTATTTCACACTATTAGTTTTGAGTTGTAACTGGACCAACTAGATGTCAGAACTGTGTGGCCGTCTTCCTATCATACTGTCGCAAAGGCACTGCAAAAACAATTTCATGAGTTAGCCTGACTTCAACAAAGCCCATTCCAGCGATTACTGGCACCTGCGGACCTTACATCGTACAATATCTCCCGAAGTCGCATATCACAGTGATTTAATTTCAGCCAATGCGTTTACATGCCCAGTGATTGGGGAGGGTGCTGCGAAGGGTCGACCCATTTATTGTGTTTACACCCCAGTTATGAATTGTTATCAGTCTGATTCAACACGTGACGATCGGTTTCATCAAGTTCTAATTCCAACTAGACATCATTTTATCCTTTCGCGCGTTGTGTCCCGTAACTCGAACATGCTTTGCCAAAAAGACGACACAAGATAATTATTGACTATTTAATCAATGCTGGTCCAGATATCCCAGTGATTTTCATGGTTTTGTTGTACCTGGACGGTTAGACAAGGAGCCATGCACATAACACGTACGCCATTTCACTACAGTAACATTACCCTGCACAACATAGTTTTCACTGAAGTCTGACATTAATAATTAGTTC